GGTTGAAATCGAATTGTTTGACTGAAGAAACGTGTTAGGTATGAAACCTGAAGTTGTCGTTGCATTGCTAAGTCGCTATTTCTGATTCAGCAACATATTGGCATGCATGATGTCTTTATCATTTTTCCAAATTGTTAAAAAGTATTTTTCTTAAAAATTATTATAGTATATTTCCACTATTATCAAAGGTTTAGATTAACCCTTCACAATTTTTATACCAGTATTATATTTTCTTGTACTATATAGTTCACAGGAGAAATCTTTTTATGACATATCAAATCTTTTCTAATACAACTATATTAGCAAGAAACGAAAAATATTCTTGTGTCGGGTCCATAAATTAATTAAGTATGAAAAGTGTTGCTATCAGCCTCTGCACAAGAAAAGAAAAAAAAACCAAAATATATATTATTTTTCAACCATCAAACTAAATATATCATTATAATTTAATTTTGAATATTCAAATGGCCATGATCTCACGTTATCTATTTTATATCCCCTCCTTATTTTCTTATGACATTTGTACACTCTCCCACTATTATTAGCCGAGCCAGAATTTGAAGTTCGGGGGCGACGCATTAAAAGTTTTTGGGGGGGTGCATACTTTTGTATACAATTTTATTAGATTTCTATATAAATTTATTGAGATTTAAGAAATGTTGGGCGCATGAGGAATGGCACCAGTGGCCTTATATTGGCTCCGTCACTGAACATTGTTACCGACTGCGAAGTTCGCCATGAATGTTTGTAATTTTCAATTGTAATATAATTTATTTCCATTCTAATTATAGTTTGATTTGAAGTATTTGAAAAGATTGGACAATCATATGAAGTATGAAAAAAGTGATGGATTTGGGTATTTTAGACATTTTCAAAACATGGTGGTGTAATGAGAAAATTTAAGGGTGAAAATAAATCAAACTCAACTCCTTTAGGAGAATATTATTCAAATAAAACCTAGCTAGATTAGCTTTACACAAAGTAGTTATTGCCTTGATTATAAGTTTTATTTATGCATACTTGACCACAAAGAAAATCCTATTAATTAAATATAATAATACACTTCTAGAGTGGAAAATGTCACACATTTTACTCAACCATTGTTTATTGGCCACAAACAATATTTTGAAATAGTCTCAATCCTTGTAGTTTACATTATTAAAATTGGTTGACGATGTTGATGGTTTTGTTGTGCCCTAAATTAGGAGTGGGACTCTCCTAAAACTACAAAAGGAAATGGTCTTGAATTCAAAGGTGGACCATGTTATTACAAGTTGAGCCTTTTCTTTATTCATTACTATTACTATTACTACATGAAAAGTTAAACAATTGTCATTAATTACTATTATTATTATTATTGCTCTAATATAAGTTAAACCAACCAACATCTAGTATAGAAGACATGGTCAAATAGAGATGGGGTGAGAAATTAGTGATTTAAATAATTAGATGTCAAATCTTCTTTATTATTATGGCCGAGAAAGTAACTAACTTTCCTTTTTAGCAACGAAGGAATGCACAGTTAATTATATATGTGCACTGTGTAAATCTGCATTAGTGTTTTGTTGATTGGTAAATTACATTATGTGATAAACTCGATCTAACGACTATTACAAAGAGAATTTAAATTTGAATTTGGGTCAAATAACACAGACTCACTTGCTCCAACTGCTGGACCATCTCTTACGAGACACAACTAAATTATTTTGATACTTGGAGATTTGAAATCAATCACTAGAAACTAAATTAACATCGATTTGTGCAACGTAACGAATGAAGTCCGAAGAAACTCATTGTAACTCAAATTCCATTAAAATTTATGTTATACATCTTCAGAAAAATTGAATTATTATTATATATATTGCTCGAAACATCCCAAAATTGCCTAATAATTAGATCAAACATACACATAATTGTCTGAATTAATTGAAAATTTTAAACAAATTGGAGTTGAATTCAACGAGACAGCAAAACATAACCTGGTAAAAAAAAATGTTCCTTGTTTTCTCCTAGCATAAAACATTTGCCATCCACAGTTATTATCGACGCGGTACAAAAAAACCAGGAGCCCAACTCTCACAAAATTACTATTTGACACCCAGATTTTTACTATTTCGTCTCTTTACCCCTTCACAAATTCAACGAATAACATCTTCGCACCGCGTATACAAAGAACAACCTTTTCAAACCTTCTCTCTTTCATCGGTCAAACCTTCTCTCTCTATATATACCCCTTTCCTCTCTCCTCCATTTCTCATTATCCAATTCTCTCTCTCTCTCTCTCTCATCTCTCTATCAACAGTTTCTCTCTCTACAATTTTCCACAGTTTCTCTCTCTACAATTTTCCACTTGTACTCTGTTACTTGTTTCTCTTAAAACACCAACAATCAGTTCAAAACCACAATAAAAATTAAAAAAAATTAAACAAACAATATGAAGGGTTCATTGTTCTCCGGCAAAAATTCTCCGCCTTCTCACCGGGGTTCAACGCGCACGCGCCGCCGAGCACCACACTTTCACCGACACGATGATGGAGGAAAACCTAGATGTTGCTGAAAGTATGATTAGGAAATGGGATCTGGATGCACACAGACACGAGAAATTCTCGCCCCTATTTGTCGACGACAACAGAGCAGAAGCGAAGAGATTTATTGAAGCGATTGACGGTTTGCGGAGGGCCATGCACTACTATGTGAAGCTCACCTCCGGCCATGAAAACCTCGTCAGAGCTCAGAATTTGATGCAAATTGCGATCAAGCGACTCGAGAAGGAGTTCTATTTCAGTTTATCGGCAAATCGAAAAAATCTCGATTCCGAATCCGTTTCCGGCCGGTCCTCCAGAGCCTCGGCGAGGACTAGCGTTTCCGATTTTTACGACGATGAAGCTTCCGAAGAGGAAGAGAGCACCACGGCCACGCCGCCGCGTACGCCGCCTCGTTCTCCGCCTCGAGAGATCTCGGAAGCTGACAGAGCTTCCGAGATTGCAATGGCGGATCTGAAGAGCATCGCCGATTGTATGATTGCGTCTGGTTACGGAAAAGAGTGCGTCAGGATTTACAAACTCATCAGAAAATCGATAATCGACGAGACTTTGTACTATTTGGGGGTTGGGAACTTGAACAGTTCGCAGATGCAGAAAATGGAGTGGAATGTTCTAGAGGCGAAAATCAAGAGCTGGCTGCACGCGGTGAAGGTTGCGGTGAAGACGCTCTTCACCGGCGAAAGGATCCTCTGCGATATCGTCTTCTCCTCGTCGGAGAAGATTGCCGAGTCGTGCTTCGCCGAGATTTCTAGAGACGCGGCGGTGAATTTGTTCAGCTTCCCGGAGAATTTCGGGAAGAGTAAGAAGATTCTGTCGCCGGAGAAATTGTTCCGTGCCCTAGACCTCTACGAGGCAATCTGCGACTTGTGGCCGGAGATCGAAGCCGTTTTCTCCCACGATTCCTTATCGGCGGTGAAATCGGAGGCCACGGCGGCTCTGATGAAGCTCGGCGAGGCGGTGAGGACTATGTTGGCCCAATTCGAGGCGGCGATTCAAAAGGACTCCTCAAAAATCCCGACCGGCGGCGGCGTCCACCCACTCACCCGCTACGTGATGAATTTCCTCGTCTTCCTCGGCGACTACAGCGGCGCGCTCTCCGACATCATAGCCGACTCTCCGGTGGGATCTCAAACCCCCCTGCCGGAATCCTACTTCCTCAGCCCAACCTCCGGCGTCGGCGACGACTCCTCGGCGGCGTCAATCACCGCACGGCTGGCGTGGCTGATACTCGTCCTCCTCTGCAAGCTCGACGGCAAGGCGGTGCTGTACAACGACGTCGCACTGTCGTACCTATTCCTAGCGAACAACCTAAACTACGTCGTTTCGAAGATCCGGAACTCCAATCTGGGGCTCCTTATGGGACCCGACTGGATCTGGAAAAACCGGTCAAAGGTCAACCAATACATGGCCAACTACGAACGAATGGGATGGAGCAAAGTGATCTCCTCCCTCCCCGAAGATCCAACGGCCGAGATTACTCCAGAGGAAGCAAAGGAACGCTTCACACGATTCTATCTGGGTTTCGAGGAGGCATACAGGAAGCAAGTTTCGTGGGTCATACCCGACCCGAAACTACGAGACGAGGTCAAAGTTTCTCTAGCCAAAAAAATCGTTCCGGGTTATCGGGCATTTTACCGAATGCATAGAGGAAACTTCAATAGGGATATTGGGGTTGAGTCAATTGTCAGATATGCCCCTGAGGATTTGGATAATTACTTATCCGACTTATTTTTTGCGGCTGCTGGCACGGGCACGTCAGTTTCGTACGGGAGTTATCCGGAATCTTCATCGCTGTATCGTGGCCGTTGATCGGGTTTTCCGAATCGACGGCTGCCGGCCACAGATATATATGTATAGAGATAGCGTTTATTATTTGCGTACAAAATTCAAAGAGAAAAGGACTTTGTCGAGAGTGACCTTTTGGCCTTTGAGTTTAACGATAAGGAGATTCTTTTGATTATTTTGGAGGAATATGAATTATTATTTATAATAATCTTTTTCTTTTATAAAATCAGAAATTAAAATTATTCTTTTATACATATTATAGAAGAGCAATTAAATATTTTTCTCTATCTACAAATATATTCATTTAACAGTAGAAGTACAACATTGGTAAAAAGTCAAAAAAAAAAATGAGAAAAAAAGAGCTATTTGTTTTAGCTTCCCCTAAAAATTATTGTTTTGTCTCGTATTATTTCTCTTTTAATAAAAAAAAAAATTGTCACAAATTATTTGACTGTATTCAATTTTACCATTGTTAATGAATTCACTGAATTAAAATAATTAATTACAAGAATATTTTAATGATTCCATATGATTTTTGTTGTAACTTATGGACAATCAAATTCAGTTTCCTGTGTTAACAATTAACACGCGCAATGAATATTTAATTCACGACTTAATTGGAGCATCAAATAGTTGGACTCTGTTTTTCGAATCTGGTTGATACAAATCTAGAAACCAGTCAAAAGAGACTTTTCCTTATAAAAATATATACAGTTTTCAGAAAGGATGTAAATGTCATAAATTTCTTTAAAAACAAAAAAAGAGAATTTTCTGCGAAATATTTGAATAGTTACTTGTCAAACTTGTTTCTTTGGACAGCCGGAACGATTAAGACGCCGTTGTATGTGTCTCATCCAGAATCGTCCTTGTCACCACAGCGGTCGTTGTTTACTCTTTTGAATTGCGGCGGCCGTCCAGTACATCAAAAATGATTTTTCTTTAGAGAAGAACACAAAGTTAGGTTTGTTATGGAAAAAGTAGCCGTTGAGAGGGACCCTTTGGGTGTAAATATTTGGCTTATATAATCTTCAGAATGAATTGTGCTTTTGTTTATTGGAAATATTGCCACTTAAGTAGAAGAGGTGTAATTTAAACGAAATTTTCGAATTTTATCTGATCCGGATAGTAGAGGTCTCTGTAACAAAGCCCATTGACTGGAAGATCCAGTCCACTAACGCCCGTTAACAGGCGCGCAGCATAAAGAACACAACCCATTGCCGAGGAATAAAAGCATATTGCCGAGAGTTGAGTCGATTATACGATACTCGGAGGGGTGACGTGATGGCTCAGACAGGTGGTGCATTTAATGTTATGACATGTGTATTAAATGCACTGACACCAACACTTAACGCTCGAATGTCGGAGTAGGCCATGAAATGAAAAGGTGTACAAATATATTGCAAAAATACTATTCAACTAAAAATGATGGCTCGGATTGCCCGTGGACAGATGGAAAGTTGGTGAGGATGATGATGAAATCGACGATTAGCATGCGCTCTCCCCGATTTTTGGGTAATTCCTCGGGTCCGGATCAAAATGATATGAATAGGAAAACACCCCTCATATGGAAGGTAATGATTTTTGAGCTAATAGCACACACCCCCTGTGTTATTTATAATTGTCAAAAAATCCTCGTGATAAAATAATTAGCAAATTCCCCCTTATATTGTACTTTATATTACACAGTGCCCCATTTATCAAATTTAATTGTTGAATTGAAGGAAAAGACAAAAGTTATCCCTAGTATAAAATAAAGCAGAATACCCAAGAGCTGCCCCTCTTCCTTCAAACTTCCACCACCACCCGCGACAATTACCTCGTCCCGTTGCCGCCCCATACTCCCGCCGACCGTCTACCTCTCACAGCCCAAATCAGTCGTCCACCACCGCACATCCCACGCTCGCATCTCAGACTGACGCAATCCACCAACTGTGTCCCACGAAATTCTTTTCGAACATTGCGCCGTCATAGTGGTGCTTAATTTGGTGGAACTGTGGCATTTGTCACCGGTTGAAGTGGTCGAAGTTCCTTAGGAGATATGGAACAAATGAAAGGGGGTGCTTACCTTTCCTTTTGGCATTTGTGAGATTTTGGCGAGTCGAGGGTTTTGGTGAGGTCGACGGTGGAGAGGGTAGTCGTAGACGGCGGGGAGGTAGTGAGGCGGGTGGCGAAGCGGAGGTGGTGACAGAGTTGGGCCGCTAGTTAGGAGTTTCTTGAGCTGGCCGGCAATAGTATTTTTGGATGTGGTGTAGGAGCGGGCTTTTATGAAAGTGTAAGGGACTGAAATAAAAAAAAAATGAAAAGTTCATTTTGGTTCTTATAAAAAATTCAGGGTGAATCTATAATTTTTAAATTTGTGATGAAGGGTAATTTGGTCTTTTAAGATAAAAAAACTACACTCTCGGTTGCAAAGTAACACACGATAAGTTATTAGGGTTTTTTTTTTTTATCTTTGACAACATTTCATAGGGGGTTCCTGCCAATTGTTTTAACACGGAGGGTTTTACGACAATTAGAGATTACACAAGAGTAGTATTGCAAAAAACCCAATATTTTTTACATACAGAGAAGTTGATCTACTCTACTTAAAATATACTTAAATTCACTGTCAAAATGCATATCGATCCCTACTCACTTGATCATCGGCGTACTGACTTCGGAAACAGGCCGGCATCCTTTTCTTAGCAGCTCGGTCCCAGTCGAGAAGGGACTCGTCTAATCCAACTGAATACCAACCGAATTAATGATTCGGTAATCGGCATGTACGAATTTTTGTTCAGCTCGATTCGATCGTTTTATCGACCGGATGAACATCCTAGATAAATTCGATACTGTAAGAGTGAATATATAAGATAATACATATTTGAGAGTGGTTGTTGTAATTATACAAACAAGATGAATTTTTTTTGAAATTATACCTTATCGCAGGGGTTGCCGTAATTTACCTTATATTGTAAGAGAATTTGTCCTTTGGGACCAGGCCTGCGGGCTTATTTGGTTGCGGCCCATGTCTTTTAAGGACTCTTGGTAGAAAAAAAATAAACATAAAATAAAATAAAACCATCGTAGTTATTAATTAATTAATTAATTAATTATAATAACTTAATATTTACGGGCCGATTTATTGGAATACCATACTAGTTAATTGAATAATCATAAAAAGTGAGTTAAGGTTTAATTGATATTTTTCATTTTTATTATGTTTTTTTAATTATTTAAATTCATATCAATTCGATTTTTTTTTTCTCAAATTTTAACTTTATTTTAGTTTGAACACATGAAGAGTTTTCTCAAATTCGAACTTGGAATGAAATGGACGTTTTTAGTGTGTGATTTTGTGAAAAAGTTGGGGAAAAAGAAGAAGGGTGGGGAAAGGAGAAGATGAGATTTTAGAGAGAAACTTTTTTTCAATTGTGTATGATTTGGTAAAATTGGTTTGGGATTTAGCATATGTATTCCAAATTATTTATTTATTTATTTGCTCAAAAGTTCTTCAATATTACTAATAAGCATTTCAAAATCTACATGATACAAATCAACTGCATTAGTAAACACAGTTAGAATTAAATCATAACAAACAAAGTGGTTTTTGATTTTGGGGTTGAACTCTTTCTTCCTTAAACCTCCACACCACATCGGCGATCTTCTCCCATTTCTCCGTCAATCATTTTCCGATCAGCAATCAAAATCGAAAACTCTCACCCATCTTTTCCGATTTCGTTTTTCTGTTAGCTCTGATTTTCAGTTCCAATTTCAGAAGAAGAAAAAAGCAGAAGCCGAAATACCTTTGTTGCTGTTGTGAATTTGAAAGGAAAAAAAATGTCGGTGCAGGAATATCTGGACAAGCATACGCTCTCCAGGAAAATAGAGGACGCCGTCAATGCCGCCGTTAGGGCAAAAACGCCCGATCCGGTGCTCTTCATCTCCAATCACATGAAGAAATCCGTCCCCTCCGTCATCACCAAAGTTAAAGCCAGGCAAATTCTCGACAGCAGAGGAATTCCCACTGTTGAGGTAGATTTGTACACCAATAAAGGCGTCTTTCGTGCTTCCGCCCCTAGCGGATCTTCCTCTGGAATGTATGCCCCTTTTCCCATTTATTTTTTTATTTTTTAATATTTTTAATTTAATCGCTATGTGGACTTTACGTGTTAGAATTGGATATGTTGTTCTTCTGAATCCTGTGTTTAGGTGTAAAATGAGGTGGGGATGGTAGACGAATCAGGCTAGACCTGTTTGACAATCCCAAAAACAATTTCGATATTTTAAGAAACTAGAGTTGAACTTGAGCAGCAATTAATCTGTATCCACTATCCATTGCATTGCTTAATTACAAACAATGTGATGAATTACACGGCTAGCTATAAAGTGGGGGTATACTCTTGTATCTTGATGGTATGGATGGCCTAGGTATGTGAAGTTGTATGTTAAGGCTAGGGTTAACTGCAACTACGTGATTGCTTTACCTATCTGAACCCGTTCCCTTCTGGCATTTGCTTATTCTAGTGGCTTTTCGTATGTTCCTCTTGTTGTTATAGAAATTCTCAGAAAGCTATCACTATCTGTTCTTTGGTTCGTCTCTTACCACCATCTTGTTAATTAGAACTTATAGTGTTTAGGGAAATGTCAGAAGCAATAAATTTGCTTTGCTATCTTAGATACTACCTTGTTTGTCTTTAGCAATGCCTTTGGTTGACTTTCTTAGTTTCTCTTTGAATTGATATTGGTATGTATCAAAGGTTTACTGTTTTCTGATTGAGTTCATTGCTGCAGCTATCATTGCACTTGGACCAGTATTTGGCCAGAAGTGTTTGGAATTACGTTTGCGACTTTGTCTTCAAAGCCTTGTTGTTGTTAATTAGTGCTGGTGGTGTTTAATATATTAATTTGTTTTGAACTTTTGCCTCGATTCATAAACATCTGTTATATGCTCACCAGAATCATCATCTTCTTGGCATGAGCCTTTTCTATTTCTTCGACATTGTTAGATAGTAGACACATGTATCATCACATTTGGAAGTATTGTGAGCCATGTATGAAGTTACTATATTCTTTTATACACAGGTATGAAGCTATTGAATTGCGAGACGGAGACAAGGGAACGTATCTTGGAAATGGTGTAAGTAGAGCTGTTAAGAATGTTAATGAAAAAATATCTGAAGCCTTAATTGGTATGGATCCAACTCTTCAAGTTCAAATTGATCAAGCCATGATAGACTTGGACAAGACAGAGAAAAAGGTAGCTTAAGTTGTAGAGATTTATATTCATCTTCCATTTACTATGTACATCGCTCTCACTTTTAATTTGGATACGTTGCCATTTGATGTGGCTTACCAAATGTGTATATTTAGCTCATTAAGCTTTCTGATTTACTTATTGGTAGGGTGAACTTGGAGCAAATGCAATTCTAGCAGTCTCAATGGCTGCCTGCAAAGCAGGGGCAGCTGAAAAGGAGGCATGTACTTAGACTTACACAACAAAAAAATGTTAATAGTCAAAGTGATCTTGTTTTGATTCTCAGTAAAAGTTCATTTGCAGGTTCCACTCTACAAACACATTGCTGATCTTGCTGGGAAAACAAATTACAATCTTCCCGTCCCAGTTTTCACTCTCATAAGTGGTGGAAAACATGCATGGAACAATCTGGCAATTCAGGTAAGACACATTTATGATTGACTTTGGACATGGTGATGGCTGTTTATTACATTTTATTTGAGTTAGCTTGTCTGTTCTTAAACTAAACAACAATCCGCTAATTCTTGTGAATAATATAAAAATATTCAATAATGGTGATTATTCCTATATAGTTTCTATTCGTTGCTCAGTCTCTTACTCCTTATTCCATTACTTGCCATCGCTACAAGATAAAGATGAAATGAGAAAAGGCAATAATAAGATCCAGAATTTGTTTGTAGTCTGACTATCCATTCTCTTGAAAACTATTGATTTGTAGGAATGGCCATAATTTTCAACTACTGCCATGTGGTTCTTGTCGCCATACCATCGGGATACTATTTTCATTCTCTTTGCTATGTAGTTCACCATTACGAGAACAAAATTAAATTCATACATGTACCTATATTTGGTACTTTATTCTTCTACTGAAACAATGCCTAAACTATTCGTTGAACATACATTTTCACTATTAGGGGTTAAACTATGCCAGGTAGAGCCATGCTCTATGCTGCTAAAACTCACTTAACTATCATAAATGCATTTATTAAATGTTTTGAGTCATGCGTGTTCATTAACTGGGAAAGTCCCATCTAAGTAAGGCTTGTAGTCAATTTTGTGAGCTTAGTAATGTTTCAAGAAAAGCTTGTTTTAGTCTTCAGAGGAGCTTATATAAACTGTAGAGACTGGTGTAAAATGAATTGTAGCTTATATATATATATATATATATATATATATATATATATCTCGATGTATATATATCTAGATGTATATATGTATATCTA